CCCCCCCCCCCACCTATTCCCCAGAAATTGCAACTTTCGGCGAAAAGCTCGCGCGCGGGAGTTTTCCCTGCCGGCTGTGTATCGCGGCCACGCGTGAATTATCGAGGCGGGAGGAACAATTTGCAGCGATTCCAGCATGTTTCATTCACCGGGGTCAGAGTTTTTGGCAAGGTGTCAATCGAGGTTTTCGAGCGTTCTTCTCAGTCTGCCTTGTCTAGCCGACCATGGTCGGAGCGAGGGCCGGGGCCAAGCAACCACCTAACAGATCATTCGTCACGGCGGGGCTGCCGCACGTCACACACCCTTCGTGTAAACGTCTCGCGGAATTGGCACCGTCTTCTCGTCATCGTCACTCATACCCTTCCTCTCTCTCTCTCTCTCTCTCTCTCTCTGTCTCTTCTCTTGTTCGCTTGTCCCTTTCGAGCGATCCCTCTGCCAAAGCGTGGCTCGTGCCTCTGGTTCGTGTTGTTCGTGCGCACGTACTTGCACGCGGTGCGCCAACGCCGACTATTAAGCCGTCGTGAATATCCCAATTTACTATCACGGAAGAACAGAGAGAGAGAGAGAGAGCAACTTTTAGCCGGAGGCGGCTCTACCATTTTTAATGCTCGCAAGCTTCGCCAGCTGGATACCGGATACCGGAGGAACGGGGTTACGTGGCCCCGACATTCCTCGCAAGAGCGTACGCGCGCTTGTGTTCTCCTGTCCCAGCTAGGATGCACAAAGGACAGAGCGCGGCTTTACGTATACGTATGTATGTATGTATGTACACTCGGTAGTGACACTGACGCAATTGAAAAGCGGACGTGTGCTACGCGCAAAGGTAAATCGAATATGTGGCAAGTAGGTTTCTTCTCTCGGGCTTTGTTTTTCGGAGCAACTGAATCTTCGAAGTAACTGGAGGTAAAGTAACTGAGCAGAGGGCAGATATTGTGTCACAATTATTTGCTGTACAGGGTGGAGAGAAAAGTTTCTTCGTGGCTATCATGGATGAATTCTACACGTTCGACTCGATGGAAATACATGCAAAGAATCTGCCGCAAAATTTGAATTTCACGGCAATTTCGCCACGAAGATAACACTTTCCTAAGGAACCTAATAGTTCTGCTGAAAAAATGGCAAAAATAACCATTTAACGCTTGCGTCCTAACAACAACTTTATGAACGCGTAAATACGTTGTTTTACTAACATTTGATTTATCATAGTTGTAGCATCAACGAGTATAAATAACCAAATAATAAAACTAATTGTTAACATTAATCGCAATATAAACATTACATCGCGGTGTTAAATGATTCAGAAACATTTTTTTGCCATTTTTTAAGAAAATTATTAAGTTACAACCTATAGTTCCTCGGAAAAGTTTTACCTTCGTGATAAATAGAATACAATGCAAAAATTAAAATTCAAGATCAAGGTTAATTTTCCGGCAGGTTCTTTGTATTTCCATCAAATCAAAGGCGTAGAATTCATCCATAACAGCCACAGACAAATTTTTTTCTTTCCACCCTGTACGTAAAATTACACTCTGCACATGAAAAAAAAAGAAAAATCCTGCAGATTATTCTTGAAGAGACTTTTAGGAGGCTGAAGATGACCTCGAGCAATGCTAGCGGAAATCCTTCGATCAGCTGAAGCTTCCGATTGCACGAAAAAGAAACGAGAGATAAATTCAGGCTCTGATCCTACGTGCCTCGATCCATTAACTACTCGTTAATGACTCCGGACTATCGTCGATTCTCGTGCACGCGTTGTTTCAAGAAACAACCAGTTTCGGCAAATTTTTACGATCTAACGAACATTCCGTACGATGTTGGAATTGTTGGTCCGAGTAAAAACAGCTGGTCGATCCGTTGTAAACTAGATCGATTGACGCGAACAATTGAGTTTTGGAAATTCATCCAGCAGAGTCCATTCAGGAGAAATCCCATGACTTCCAACAATTCCACCGATGATAGCGCTAGCTTTCGAAATGTTTTTTCCAAATAGCTGCCGCGAAAGAAGATTTTAAACGGTTCGACTCTCGAGCTTCCACTTTGCGAAACTGGGCTCTAAAAATTCAAGCAGCCTTTCAATCAACAATTTTTAATCAACAGCATTGAGAGATTCATCGAAAAGCAATATCCGAGCATCAGCTATCCGTTGACTCCGGGCAGAGATCGTGAAATCAGATTAACGCGGAACATGCATACGATACGGCGATTACGATTGAGAAAGATTTACGATTCGGGAAAGCTGCCAAGCAATTTCGACCAGCGGTTCGTCCCATTACACTCTTACGCCACATTTCCGCGAGAAAGCTGTTATCAATTTCCTCCCTCGATCTCTAATACATTCGACTGGTTCTTCGCCAGTCGAGGCAACGATTTTATATCTTAAAAATTTTCAAGAAAAACTTTTCTTTCGGCGACTCACGGCCAAACGCGCTCGGCACCGATTCAGCCGATTCTGTTCGTAGATTTATCTTCCGCGACAGCTGGAACGGTTGATAAAGTCTTGGCTGGGAATGAGCTACACCTGGCGATGGTCGTTCCGGAACGAAACTATCGGCCGCGGTTAAATGTGACTGGCGAGATCATAATTTCGCAAAAAAAGGATTAAGCTAGAAGGACATTACGAGACCGTCGGCGAGAAATTACGAAGGAGATAATATTGGAAATATAAAACTTCT